ACTTTAACACTTTTACTCAAGTTATATTCCTAAAGGAGACTTTAACTTTTACCAAAGTCAGTTTTTGGTAAGATACTTTAACACTTTTACTCAAGTTATATTCCTAAAGGAGACTTTAACTTTTACCAAAGTCAGTTTTTGGTAAGATACTTTAACACTTTTACTCAAGTTATATTCCTAAAGGAGACTTTAACTTTTACCAAAGTCAGTTTTTGGTAAGATACTTGTACTTTTACTCAAGTATCACTTTGTAGTACTTTATACAACAGTGACTTACGTGGTATTTTCTTAAACACTGTGTTGCACATGAACTGCTGGAAACGGTCTGCATAGAAGCCAGGTCTGTGAACTGAAACAGTGTCCTAAAAAAGGCCACAACAACAAAATTACAACATGGGAAACAGAATAAAAACAAGTATAAAAACAAAGATATTATCCTCAAAGTGCTCTTTGTTTGTGAAGAATTATTTGTAATATCTACCAGCTTCAGCAGTATTTTTCTTTAGCAGTGATAATTTAAAGACAGTTTGGCTCTCACCCCATCATGGACCAAAGCTTTCCAGGAATGTTCCAACTTCTTGATGAACCTGAAGCACATAAAGCTGCTCAGATCATTGCATGTTTAAGCTTCTCATCAGATAGTGAGACCTCCTCACTACACCTACCTGTAGGACTGAAGAATATCGATGATGCCGATGTAGATGAGCAGCCTCTCTCCCTTTGCATTGCGAGCTGGAATCCCTCCCATACTGGGAAGTAATGGTCAGATAAACATGTTGTTATTATCAGCAGCACAGCTGCTGGTTTTACTACAAACAAGTGTCTCAAACATAAATCTGCCAGCAGCAGCAGCAGCACTCACTGGTCCTCTGAATCCAAAGCCCCCTTCCCTCGAGCCTCCCCCTGGATGGACTCCATGGCTGTGCAGTATAAGCTTTTCTGAGCTTGAGGTCGACGCTGATCTGGGGTCACCGGACCCTCCAGAACTGCACCGTCTCCCGAGCCGCCCCCGCTGCGCTCCCGCTCCCGACTGGCCTGCTCCATGTTGTGAATGCCCATCAGCAGACTGTAATCCATGATCTTAAAACTCTGCAGGAGCTGAATAAAAGGTGCAAATATTGACATGTAGTTATGTGTTGTCACAAAAACTAAAGCTTAAACCTCTCTAGAAATAAAACCAAAGAAGAGAAAAAAATAAGACGAGACAAACGGTGTGAGAGTCTGGCTCACAGTGCTGACAGACACTCAGACCTTTCCTGGGTGAGAGCTGGACTCTGTCAACAATATGTTCATAACTTTTACAGGCAGAACGTCTCAGAGCAGTCAGGGGGGTGAGGGGGTCCGGTTCACTGTCCTCAGGGTTGTGTCTCTGCTGTTTACAGATGATGTGGTCCTGTTGGTGTCACTGTGTCACCTCCAGCTGAGTCTGAAACAGCTGGGATGAAGATAAACACCTCCTAGCCTGAGTCCATGGACCTCAGGTATCATCAGGTGAGCTGACCTCTACGGCTGGAAGCAACATGTGGCCTTAAGTGAAGAGGTTTAAGTCTTGTGGGGTTTTGTTCACAAGTGAGGAAAAATGGATCGAAAAGAACAGAATGATTAACAGTGTGGCTTTTAAAGTACTGCATACTCTGTACTACAGCTGTGCAGTATACTGGTTTGTACCAAAAACTGTTTTTATCTCTGTTATGATACGAATTAGACATATACTGGCATACCTGTTTAAACAGCCTGAACATGATTGGACCACGTGTGTGTCAGTAAACTGTTCTGCTGGTGAACATTTTCCAGGGTTCCTGCAGGTTTCACTAAGTTAAATTTAAGACCTTTTAAAGACACTTTAAGACCATTAGGAATGAAATTTAGGACCAACCCGACACATTACAGAAATATTAAATGGCTCCAGAAATTTTTAACACATAAATGTCTAAATATTGCTTTGACTAATATCAATTTAAAATCTATTTTGGTGTCATAGTTGAAAGAAACTGAATTACAAAATTAAGACATAGAAAGGCTATCCCACTCCCAGGGCACATGCAGCCTAAATACACAACTCTTCAGAGGTCATAAACTGAGCCACTTCCTGCCTGCAGTTATGGCAGGATTTGTAGTTTAGGCACATTTCAACACCAGTACCAAACCCAGCAGCACCTCATGAAGACAGATCGCATCAACTTCTGCCTCTACGCAGCTAACGAGTCATGGCAATGATTGAATGTAAAAAAATAAGACTTGACTAATCTAAATTTAAGACCTTAGATGAAAATACAGGGTGTTTTTTAAGACTTTTTTAGGCCTAAAATGTAGATTTTAAAATTTTAGACCTTTTTAGACTTTTTAAGACCCTGCAGGAACCATGATTTTCCTTTAAAAAAATTTTTTTTAATTCTGACTTTGGCCATCGTTGACTACATCAGTGCTGTCTTCATACTAGTGCTGGGCGGTATGACCAAAATTTTGTATCACAGTATTTGTCTTTTCATCACAGGTCAGCTGATAATAAAATGTACAAAAACTGCTTATTAACTTTTTCTTTGACTGTACCTGTGCCTGTGTTTCCCTCCTCTGTGTGTCTTTTCTCTGACTGGTTGGAGACAGCAGCCATCAGTCCATTAAAAACAATCAGTGTCTGTGTGAGACTCACCAAGCAGTCCCTCTGAATAGTCTTGCACAGGGCATTGTAGTTGTCTGCTTCCAGCAGCAGGCCGTCAGGCAGGTCCTGGATGAAGTCCAGGTCTTTGTAAGTAGGAACAGTCTTTTCTCTTTCCTTAGGAGAAGCTCGTCTCTTATAGGTGGAGCCTTTCAGGTCGTATTTCAGGTGCATGGGGATGATCCGAGGCAGGAGGTTATTCATGACAACAATACGGATATTTTTCCCTCCAGCCTGAACACAGTACAGTCCGTAGAATTTAGGGAGCAGAGTTCGCTTGTTCTGGTTTATGTTCTGGAAGGGAGAAAGAAATGATAAAGATCTGAATTAGAAATGATTAGAACAAATCAGGGATTTTAAATAATCTCATGGATTAGAAGTGTTTAACTCGGCAGGTAACACAGTTATGACTGACACTGGGAAGCAGACAAACAACAATTTAAAAGTCAAAAATTGGTTTGTTTTTTTCCATTAGAGGGTACATGTAGTACATTTACTGTACTTAAGTACATGAAATTATACCTCCTCAGAGCTGTAAAGTAACTAAGTACAAATATTTTGTTACTGTACTTAAGTAGAAGTTTTGTGTACTTAAGTAGAATTTTTGTGTATCTGTACTTTACTTGAGTAATTATTTTCAGCCTACTTTTTACTCCTTACATTTTAAAAAAAGACAATAAGTATAAAGTTGTTCCTTTTATTTCATTTCTGCTTGTTTTCATTGCAGCTTGTTGTTGTAAAAAATAAAAACTATCCATATAAACTGAGCCTCCTAGATAGAGTGAATTTAACTGTGGTTGAATGAGAAGTATAAATATATAAAACTCTGATAGTGTATTAGTTTGTACACAAACAAATCATGTCACACTCCAGCAGGACAGAATCATTCAAATAAAAGGACTGTACTTAAGAAGTATTTGTATTTCATGAATTATATTCTTACATTTGGCCGCAGCCCTCAGATAGATTTTCATTTTGGGGAAAAGCTTTGTGCAGCCTTGATATATGTATATAAACTGAAACAGCTGGACTAGTGCATCCTAAATTTAACATCCATTCATTCTTTTAATACAACAGTCATTTCTGCAGTTTTTGGGGAGGTCACCTCCTAATAAATGTCCTTACAGAAAATCTAACTGCTCATTTTAAATCTATACTTTGACTTTTAATACTTAACTACAACAAATATCACATACTTTAACACTTTTACTCAAGTAATATTCCTAAAGAAGACTTTAACTGTTACCAAAGTCATTTTTTTTGTAAGATACTTGTACTTGTACTCAAGTATCACTGTGTAGTACTTCATACAACACTGAACCTCCTTCATTTATGATAGTCTTCTGTAAAACAAAGATATCCCTCAGTCTGAACACACTTTAATCTCCCTCACCATGAAGTAACCTGGCAGGAGTTTCTGCAGGAATTCTGCCTCTTTGTGTTGAACAGTTTTAATGATAAACTCATCGTCACTAGAAACATAGAAGATGGATCCACTGGCTCCAGGGTTTGACAGCTCAATCAGTGGCTCATTACACAGAGAGTACTGCAACGAAACAAACAAGTCTCTATTATTATACACTCAAACACGTTTAGTCTACAATAAGTAAATACTGGGGACAGAAACAGAGAACACACATCTTGATGTGATGGATGTAGAGATCCCTAAAGGCTTTAATCAACTACAGAAACATGTTTTCTATTTGATGGAAGCTTCTTCAACACAAAGAAAACTGTCCAGGAGGAAAACCCTTCAGAACAGGAGTGTCCAGTCCTAGTCCTTGAAGGCAGTAATCCTGTGTGTTTCAGGTGTCTCTGCTCCAACAAACCTGATTTAAATAGATGTGTGATTGACAGGTCTCTGCAGAACTTGAAGATGTAATTAAATAATCAAATCAGATGTGCTGGAGCAGGAAAACAAGTAAAACCTGCAGCATAGAGGCCCTCAGGGATCAGGAATAGAGACATCATCGTAATCATCATTAAGATCGTCAGCTAAATCTGGTTAAAGAATTGGCACAATTATCTTGCCGTGTCAATCAGAGAGAAAAGTCACCAAATTAACACAAAATAAAAAAGGGTCTAGTTGTGACGATGGCAGTGGTGCTCTGTGCACATACTGACCAGGTAGTCATCGGGCCGGATGCCAAACATTTCTCTGAAGTAACGGAAGGCAATGGGAGCGTAGGTCTTAAAGCGAAAGTCACTGTAGTGATGAGCAGGAGTCAGGTTGCTGCCTTCACTGGAAACACACACACATACAGAGAAAGAAAGAGACTAAATGAGCACTGAGCTTTGTCTCGTGTGAATAAAACATGACTCATTCAGCACAACTTTAACACACAACTTCTGTTACCAACCTGGGGAAAAAGATGCTTTCCACCACCACAAAGTCCTGCATGAGAACATCTCTCTCTGCCTTCTGACTCAAGCTGCCTACTGTGTGAGCGATGCCCAACTGGATCGCTCCTTTCAGGGCAGATGATGTTGTCTAAAGAGGAAGGAAATAACATTTCACCTCACCGATAAGGATAAGACATTACAGAAGGTTACTCTGGAATAATACACAGTACTTTGTACTTGTTGCTCGGTGGGTGTCAACAAGCAGCCAACGTGCACTCACCTTTTTGTACGTGGTCTCTCCTGTGGTAGTTTCAACTCCCCGGTGCCCAATGGTCTTCTTCATACTTTGAGTTGTGCCTGAAGAGCCGGGCAGCTAAGGACAAAAAACAAACAAACAAACAAAAATAAATCAAACATGGTCCAACGTGTATTTGTGGGTGTAAACTAGATCAACATGTAAACCATAAGTCATTGTACTAAGATAATTAAGATAAGATAAGATAAGATAAGATAAGATAAGATAAGATAAGATAAGATAAGATAAGATAAGATAAGACAATATACAGTATAAGATAAAATATAAG